TATTATTATTATTATTATTATTATTATTATTATTATTATTATTATTATTATTATTATTATTACTACTACTCAAGGTCGCAAAGTCTGTAGCAATTCTCAGTCCTCCAGGTTGTAGTTTTCCCAAAGGTGCCTTTTTTTTCCAGGAGGCACGTGGACTTTGTTTTTTCTTTGAAGATGTTTTGCTTCTCATCCAAGAAGCTTCTTCAGCTCTGAACTAGATGGTGGGGAATGGAAGGATTTATACTCCTTGAAGACAGCTGGTCATTTGCATCCTTTTAGAGGGTCATTGAGGCCACTTGGAGGTTTATTTGGCTCCTCAGAGTCACCTGAGTTCCTGGTTCCTGTAGTCTACAATTTTTTTCCTCTGGAAACCAGTGGTGGGGTTCAAATAATTTAACAACCGGTTCTCTGCCCTAATGATTCCTTCCAACAACCAGTCTACCAAACTGCTCCGAAAGTTAACAACCAGTTCTGCTGAAGTGGTGCAAACTGGTTGAATCCCACTACTGCTAGAAACTCATTCCTACCCCCACACCATTCAAAGGGTTGATAATTCCAAATTGTATCGTGAAAAGTCTGTGGCAATTCTCAGTCATCCAGGTCATGGTTGTCCCAACAGTGCTTAACTGGATGGTGGGGAATGGAGCTGAAGAAATCAGAGCTGAAGAAGCTTCTTGGATGAGAAGTGAAACGTCTTCAAAGAAAAAAAGCAAAGCCCAGTTATCTCCTGAAAAAAAAAAAAAAAGAACCTTTGAGTCAAGGTGGCAAATGTATCCAACACACCTTCCTCCTCCTATTTTCCCTACAACAACACCTGTAAGGTGACCTGGCCCAAATTCAGCCTCCTGGCTTACATAGCTAAGGCCGGGACTACAACTCACCCTCTCTTGGTGATTGGCTCAAAGTCAACTGGTCAACTTAATGCGTGGAGTAGAATTTGCTATCTCCTTTGTACGCCTCTGAGTAAATGAATAGGGATGTTCACAATAGACAGAGATGAGAGCAAGGGTGAACTAATTTTATCTTGGCTGGGTGTGTAGGAGGCATCTCACCTGCGGTCCCTTTCACAATGCTTCTCAGAAGGTCTCTGGCTTGGTACATGTAGCAGCGCAACTGGAAATACATTGGACCTAAAAAGAGGAATATTTTTTTTTCAATTTTTCTTCTGGCTTCTTCATTACAGTTTCCCAAAAGGAGACTCTATCAAACATTTAGCTTCTCATCTTATAAATCCTTTCTCTCATATCGATCCTTCCATTCCTTCCCATCCTGTCAGAGCTGAAGAAGCTTCTTGAAATGAGAAAGGAAACGTCTTCAAAGGAAAAAACAAGAAAGTCCAATTGCCTCCTGAAAAAAAGTACCTTTGGGACAACCATAACCTGGAGGACTGAGAATTTTTACAGGCCCAGTACTCTTCAATATCTTCATAAATGATTTAGATGAAGGAATAGAAGTGGAACTCATCCATTTTGCTGTCGACACTAAATAGGATGGTTTTCCAAATGATAAATTGGACACCCTTCATGGCTGCCCTTGCATAAGCCAATCTTCTCTAACCCTACTGGTTGGGTTTCCTAATATGTGAAGGCCAAACCCATCTGAAGAACCTCAACTGGAGGAAGACAGTTCTGGGAACTCACCCTTGAAGACGCAGTAGAGAAGAGGAGTGTTCTTCTTCAAGAGACCTTGGGAAGCAGGTGGCTCTAGTTCCACCTCCTCTTTTTCATCTTTCCTTCCTGCTTCAGTTTTTTTCTTTTTCTGTCGGTCTCCAACCTCCACACCCTGAAATAAAGGAGATAGTCATAATGCAACTTTGAGAAAGCGAAAGACTGAATTTGGCTTCTCTTTTTGGCAGGGAGATTCCCAGGAGCATAAAAAAAAAAAGTGAAGATGTGTGATGACCCAAAGGGGCATGGCACAAAGGCAACACAGTCAGATAATCAATAAGAGTCCCTTTATTAGCTCCAACTTTGCCCCCAATGTCCAGGTTATCTTCTGGCTGGAGAAAAACTCTCCCAGGAACAGCCTTTGGCTGCAGAAAATTAAGTCCAAAACATGAGCAACACAAGCTGTAACTTAAAGTCCAAACAAGCCAAACTGAAGTAATTAACTTGGCAGGGCAGAAGCAAGAATTTCAGGCTTGAAGGCACAGCAAAACTCACACAGGTGGGAAGATACCAGGAATACAGATAAGCCACAACAACACAGGATAAAGTCACGTTTGCTCCTAGCAGTCTGCCACACGCAGCCTGCCTTTCTTATCAACTGTCTTCCCAGCTGTAGCTAATGAAGGGAATCAGGGCCCTCTCCTCCCTCGTAAGCCACACAACCTATATTGCTCTCTTCTCCGTTCCTCCCTGCGTGCCCTAGGATGAAGAGGGGGTGGGCCTGGGTCTTCCTCTGAACTCCCTCTCCCTTGTTCTACCTTTTCCCTCCTCTGCCCAGCCGGACTTTGCCCTTCCCCAGCCTCCCCCACAGCCAATGGGACCACACTCCTACTCCCTGTCAGCTGTCCGACTTCCTCCTTGGATTCAGATTCCGACAGGGGCATGACTGATGGAGGTTGCAATCATGTAATTGAAGTCCTTCCCCCTTTAATCACTGCTGTCTTTTTGGCCCACCCTCTGGACAACCCTGGTTACGTGACAGCTGTCCTCTCTTACCAAGGAACCTTCCAAGTAGAAAATGGGTGCCACCAGGCTGGGTGCCACCGGAGCAAGCTTCCTGCGCCAACAACGTCGCCGAAAAACATCATCTGGTTGCCTCTGGAGGTGGAATCTCCAGCCGTAGAGAGGTGCATATTCCCAGACATCCTCTTTCACTTTAATATCTAAGTGCTGCAGAAACCACAGGGAGGAACTTTCCAATTATGACGTCTTATTTTAGCCAGAATTTAGCCTTTCTCAAGCGGGTAACCCAGAGATGTTATGACAGTAGAGTGGCAAAGGATCAGAGTTGCAATTTACTTATTTATGGGTATCCATAATACCCATAAATACACCTCATACTCTTTCCTCCTCTTCTTTTCCCCCACGACAACAATCCTGTGAGGTGGGTTGAATTGACAGTGGGAGGACTGACCCAAAGTCGCCTAGCAGGTTTTTATGCCTAAGGTGGGATTAGAACTAACCACCTCCTGCTTTCTATACCAGCTCCTTTACCACTACACCAAACTGGATCTAACACGTGTGAGTGTCCCAGAGTCATCAACAGTTGAGCAGAAATTTTGGTCTAGCGGTTTAAGGCACCAGGCTAGAAAATGGAAGACCATGAGTTCAAGTTATGAAAGCCAGCTGGGTGACTTTGGGCCAATCACCAGGAGACGGTGAGTTCTAGTCCCGTCTTAGGTATGAAAGCCAGCTGGGTGACTTTGGGCTAGTCCCTCTTTCTCAGTCTAACCTTCCACCTGGGTTGTTGTGAGGAAAAAAACAGCAAAATGTGTTGGATATGTTGGCTGCCTTGAGATATTTGTAAATATAATAAAGGCGGGATGTAAATAAAATAGAATTTAATAAGTTATGACGATGACGTCATGGAAGCATCTCCTTGATAGATGAGCTTCATGCTAAGGCTACCATCTCATCCAGTGCTTCTAGTGAAGTCTTCTTGGTCGCACCCTGGACCAGCCTACCTCAGCTCTAGTCTACCTCCACGGCCCTGGTAAAATGTCCCCGCTTCCAAAGCTCTCCCTTCATTCATCGCTGACTTTCTGTCTGACACCCACTCCCCGAGAAAAAGATTCAGTACCAGCTGGAGAAAAGCGGCCATCTGATTTTGTTGAGTCTCCCTGCCGAGGTTCCGGAAACGCTTCCTGAGCCAACGTCGCCGCCGGTGTGTGTGGTAGGTCTTCTCAGCTGTGTTCCAGGAGTGAGGAAACTCAGCAGGTGGGATGGCAACGCCATACTCCCATCCTAAGGAGGAAAAGAGGTGCCCTGAGGCCCGTGGGCAGACGAGGAAGCACACGCTGCAACACTTCCCTTCAAATTCTGCCCCTTACAGACCCGCTTATGACTGTCAGGTGTGACAAAGCCAGGACCAGACATGTCGTTTTCAATTCAGCTGGTTTATGACTCACACCTATGCACAGCAGGAACACGGCAGCCACACTAGGGGCCAACGCCTATTCATCCACATCATGTGGCTGCAGTATTATTATTTATCCTTCTGGGAGGAGGCTTCGCAGGATCCAAAACAGAACAATTAGATCCTGGGATAGCTTTGTGTCATATAGCATCAACCTTGTCAACTCTTAAGACTCTTTTTCCCCCCGCTATGTATTCAAAATGGACTATGATTGATTGAGAGATAGATGGAGGGAGGGAGGGAGGGAGGGATAGATGATAGATTAGATAGATAGATAGATAGATAGATAGATAGATAGATAGATAGATAGATAGATAGATAGATGATAGATAGATAGATAGATGATAGATAGATAGATAGAGATAGATAGATATAGTGATATAGCTACAGATACAGATATATAGATATAGATAGATAGATAGATATAGATATAGATGATTTAGATAAAGATATAGATTTATACAGGTAGTCCTTGACTTACAATAAATAGTTCATTTAGTGATGGTTCAAAGTTACAATGTCGCTAACAATAATGACTTATGACCATTTTTCACACTTCCGGCATCCCCATAGTCACATGATCAAAATTTGAATGCTTGGCAAAGTGATTCATATTTATTTCAGACAAATTCCTTCTGTGCCTACTCACACTTGGCCAAATAAAGTATTCAGTTCAATTCAACTCAACTCAACTCAACTCAAGTCAACCCAACTAACAGTTAGCACTATTTTGGCACTAAACCACAGAATTAAGGAGGGTTTGGACTTAGTCCATTGGTGGCTATGTAGTGACTCTAGGCTAATTCCTCTTTTGACTCCACCTCCAGGCTCTCTCACTCCTTTTCGTACAATAACCCTGCCCTGCAAGCAGAGATGGCCGAACCTGCATTCCAATGTCACAATGACTATCCTGTCATCCTTGTTGATTAGTGACAAAACACTCCACATTCATGCAATGACCACTCCAGGGCTGAACAGAGCAGATATTACAGGCCTTTCAAGAACCATTATTCCTTTTTATTCCATCATCAACCTGTCTCCCTACCCAGAGGAAGTTATAAGACAATATTCATGCGTTGGGTAAGGTTTCTATATATTACTAGATTTTTTAAAAATGCTAATTCTCCATCCAGAACTTTGATGGAAGATCCCCAGTGATTTATCTACCTAATGGTTGCCCTTCCACTCAGGACTTTTCTTTTAGCTCAAGTTAAATTGCTTCAGTTAAATATCTGGGCTGCTTTTTCCAAAGAAATATCTGTCTCATTGCAGCCAAATACTTGCCAGCATCGTCCACAGCCCGGTTCAATTCCACTTTCCATTCTTCTACAAAGACCCATCCAGGAGGACACAAGATGTCTTCTTTTCGGGGAGCAGGAACCCCACTCTAAGAATGGTAAGGGACAACACAGAGTAGAAAATGAGAGGAAGGAAGATCTAAGCATATATTTGAAATGCAACCTTTTGCAACCTTTCTGATTCCCCACCACCCAGAACAGGCCAAAAATGGGGTACACAGCAACTGAAAATGGGGCATGTGGGAGTCTGAAAAGGGGTGTGGAGGCCAAAAATGGGGCACGCGGAGGCAGCAATAGGCTATGGCCATTCCTGCAGCCTGAGACAGCTGATCGTTGGGAGGCCAATCCAACCGACAATCAGCTGCTTGTACTACTCAGGCTGTGCTGAAGCTGAAACAGGCTATTTGCTCTTTGCTGCAAGGAGGGAAATTGCTGGGAGGCGGAGGCAGATTATTTTTCTTGTTTTCCTCCCCTAAAGCTAGGTGCAGTCTTATACTTCGGAGCATCTTATATTCTGAAAAATACGGTAATTGTCCCCACTCTTAGGAAGTTTCTCCTTAATTCCAGGTGGCTTCTCTCTTTCTCTGACACTTCTCAGAAAACAACAGCTGAATGAAAAACTGCTGGTGACCTTCTACCGCTGCACCATAGAGAGTATCTTAACTTACAGCACCTGTGTCTGGTTTGCCAATTGCACAGAGGCAGATGGGACAGCACTCCAGAGGGTTAACGTCATTGCCCAGAGGACCATTGGTCGCCCTCTCCCCTCTTTGGAAGAGCTTTATAGCTCCCGCTGCCTTAAGAAAGTTCAAAACATTCTCAAAGATCCATCTCACCCTGGGCACACTTTTTTTAAACTATTACCATCTGGCAGACAGTACAGGATAATAAAAACAAGGACAAAATAGGGTGGAAAACAGCTTCTATCCCAGGGCAGTAACTATTGAATTCTACTGTATAGTGCAAAGTTAATGTGATATCAGGGGCTTTCAATTCAATGTGTGGAGTGTGAAGGATGTGTTTATTTTATTATGTGTTTGTGTTTATTTTCATGGTCATGATGTGCCCTGAAGGTGGTGTTTGATTTTGTTGTACGAGGTGCAATGACAATCAACTAAACTAACTAAACTAAACTAGACTCTTTGATTAGTTTCCAACTATTGTTTCTTGTCTTGCTTTCTGGTGCTTTGTAGAAAATCTCCTCCATATTGCTGCTAAGAAAATCATATGTGTGTGTCCTGGAAGTCATAGGAACTAGCTGGACCAGAAGGAGACTTTGCTTTTTAAGACTCTAAAAGCCCTTTGCTTTGAAGATTTTGTACAAAGTTCACCTTGGAAAAGAGACACCCTTGAAACACACGCCAGGAGTTTTCGTACGCTCCGTTTTGGAGCTTCCAGTCCACACCCCTCAATGGAAAATCACTTCCAGACATCAAAGAGAAGAGATGAAGAACAGCAAGCAAATCCTGGCTTACCTTCTTCATTTCTCTTTTCTAAGTCCTAACCTGAGCCACTCACCGCGTTGCTGTAAGGGACCCTGGCTGGTTTCCATCGACGGCTAGGCTGTCGACTCTGGTTCTCGTAAACTTCCTGAATCACTTCGGAATAGTTGGTCTCTTTGTCCAGCAACAGCCTAGTCAGAAACACAGTGCAACAGGAAGTTTGGGCTGCCATTAGTGGAAGAGCTTTTCTCCTGGAGTTGTGCATAATAAATTTCCAAATGGAAATACATTTCCTTTATTGCTTCCAACTTGGCTTCACTGTTCCATTGTTTGCAGTTGGAAATTAAACTCGTTCCAAAATAATATTCCAAAAGAAAGAAAGGCAGTCCAAACTCAAAGAGCGGATAACGGAGCAATAAAAAAACCAAAAACAAACCGCACTGAAGAAAGTTCCACGACAGATGAGGATAATTAATTACAAACTTCAAGAAGATAACAAGGCACAGTCCATTGGAAGAACACCAACTAAGAGAAACCTCATCCAGGAATAAAACACGCTTTGCTTCTGGCAACTTTGTGTTTGAAAAGCCCCTCCTTTATACTACTCTCCCCAGCTGCAACCAATGAGGAGGATCATGGCCGCTTCCTCTCTCGCAAGCCAAGTTGTTGCCTTCTGCATTCCTCCCTGCGTGTCCTAGGATGGAGAGGGGATGGACCTGGTTCTTCCTCTGACTGCCCAGCCAGTCTCTGCCCTTCCCCAGCCTCCTCCAAACCTCCGGAGCCACACTTCCACTCCCTGTCAGCTGTTCCTCCTCTCTCTCGGAGTCCGACTCTAACAAGGGCATGACAATTCTCCATCACTGAAAGCCTTCAAGAAAAGGCTGGACAGCCATTTGTCTGGGATGGAATAAGGACTCTATGCTGCCCCAGTCACTCTTACACACACACACACACACACACACACACACA